GGACAAATCCAGCCAGGACTGCAGGGGCACAAACAAATGTCACGGACTCGGTGCGCGGGCGATGTTTCCCCACTTCGAAGCTTTTTGAGCGGGGCACAGCCAACGAAAGTGGTCAAGGATGGACCCAGGAGGCAGGGATGCCAGGGTACCCCGAGTTTCTGAATAAGCCTCGGGGGGGCGTCACCCCCGCCGACAGCCCCACATCGACCCCCGCCGCAGCAGCAGCCACCACGCGCCGACGGCGCTCCGACCCCCGTCGCAGCGCGACGACGAGGCGGGGTTGACCCCCGTCGGGGGGGTACCCCCCCACGCTTATTAAGAAACCCAGAGTATCCTCTCCCCGTCGCTCGGACGTCCAATTCCCTGTGCTTGTTTCGGTGTCGTGCGTGGCTCTTTCGCAGGATGATCCAGGACGCTCCTCAAGAATCCCTGCCGAGAAAAAGTGCACACGTGCGAGCGATACCAAGTCCTGGGGAAGGCCGCCCGTCCTTGCTGTGCGGGCTGACTGTAAAGGGGCACTGCGGGGGCGCCGCGGCGCCGAAGTCCAATGCCCCGCTCCAGCGAGCTCGCGCTCGCGAGCGGGGGAACCGACGAACGAACAGCACGCACCCATACCCGCAGGAGGGACGGACGGGGGCTATGGGTGCGTGTTGTCAGGTGGGGGCCCCCGTTCGAACGGGAGCCTCCGCCAGGGCCCGACAACCCGCACCCATACCCATGGCCAGTCCTCCTCCCTCCGACGCTCCTCTACGCGCATGGGTGCGCGTCGCTCGCTCGTCAGGAACGGCGGGGGGGGGGGCGGCGGCGGCCAGATCACAGCGAGGGCTAAGCTCACCGGGCCGCCCTCCCCCGCCCACGCGGCGGGGCGGGGGGGGAAAGGCAGCTGCCGCGGGCAGGGGGGAGGAGGGCCCGAAGGGCGGGGGAGGAGGACGAGGGTGAGGTGACGGGCCTGTTTTCCCCCACCACCATCAGAAGTTCGAGGGGGAAGGAGGTGGAGGACGAGGAGGAGCAGGAGGAGGGGGACGAGGAGGAGGAGGAGGAGGAGGAGGAGGAGGAGGAGGACCCCCTTCAACTTATGGTGGTGGTGGTGGTCGAAAACAAACACATCATGAGGAGGGATCGGAATCGGAATCGGATCAGATGCGAGGCATCACGGGGAAATAGCCAGACATCCGTGGGTCTCAAGCACGTGAGCACACGATCCGAACTTAGCTGCCCCGATGCGCAATACGCAATCCGGAGCGTATTGATACGGGGCTCAACACGTAGATCCAATACGTAGATATGGCTGCATACATTCGCCAATACGTAGGCCAACACGTACAACATCCACGCTCGATGCGCATTACGTGGGGCGGCCTGCGATACGCAGCCCAAAAAACTCAATACGTAGCCCAAAACGGAGCCCAATACGTAGCCCCCCGCCGTTGTCGCCGCCGCCGCCGTCGACATCGCCGACCCCGTGGGGCCGTTATGACCCCCTCCGGGACCGCATGGCATCTCTCCGGGGCCCCTAAAAAAACCGGGGGCCGCTATAACATCTCCCCGGCGCCTCGATAACGCCTCCCCGCGGCCGCTAATAAACCCCCCTGGGCCGCACATGCCCCCGAGGCGTCTGAAAAACCTCCCGGGGCTGCTACAACGCCTCCCCTGGGGCCCGTGCATCACCTCATGGGTTCGGTTCCAGTGCCGCTGTAACAACTCCCAGTCTCGCCCTTTCACGGAAAACTTCTCATGGGTGGCAGACAGCTGAGTTGAATTGGCACACCGGCCTTGGGCCCACCCCAAGAGGTTCGCATAACAGCTCCCAGGGGCCCGTATAACACGTCAGGGGGCCGTATAACACCTCCCCTGGGCCCCAGGTCCACCCCAGGGGAAGCGTAAAAACACGTGTCCTCCCACTCCCTCCCTCTTCCTCCTCCTCCTCCTCCTCCTCCTCCTCCTCCTCCTCCTCTTCCTCCTCCTCCTCTTTCTCCCCCTCCTCCCCCCATCTTCTTCCGCCTCCTCCTCCTCCTCCTCCTCCTCCTCCTCCTCCTCCTCGTGCTCCTCCTCCTCCCCCTCGGCCTCCTTGTCTCCCTGGTTGCCCCCCCCTCGCGCTCCCCCCACCCCATGCAACCCCTCCCCCGCCCTCCTCCACCTCGTCCTTCATCGCCGCCCGCCCTCGCCCCAATACGCGGCCGATACGTGGCCAGAAAGAGGAGGACTGGGAGGGGCGGGGGGGTGGAGGAAGGGGTGCAGGGAGGGGGGAGGGGGAGGAGGAGGATGAGGATGAAGAGGAGGAGGAGGAGGAGGAGGAGGAGGAGGAGGAGGGGGACGAGGAGGAGGAGGAGGAGCAAGAGAAGCAGCAGGATGAGGAGGGCGAGCATGTCATGCCGCATTTACCTCGAATGCCACCTGCCGCCCCCAGATCAATGAAGCCCCCCACGCATGGGCGCGGGGACACCACGCCCTTGTCTGGTAGAATTTGTTGTTGTCTGGTGATGTCTTGTAGGGATCGTTA